ATAGCTCGGCTGTTATCCTGGTCTTTAATCTCGATTTTTCATTATTCCGCTCGTGCGGCCCCGGCGAGCCTCGGTTGGGCTCGCCGCTGCGTGTATATAGCTCATCATCGTTCTAACAACGGGGGAACCGTGGGACGAACGAGATGAAGTGTACACGTGTGTGTGTGTGTGTGTGTGTGTGTGTGTGTGTGTATCTCGGCAGTGCGGATGCATGCGTGGCGGGTCTTTTGTTTTATTGTTCGATTACTCTTTTTTTTTTTTTTTTTTTTTTTTTGTACCAGGCGCAGCCTTTGTTTTGCCATGGGTTTTGTTTGTATACCTACTGACGATGACAAGAGCGGCCGATGCTTTTGGTATTGCAGTGATTTTTGTACTTACTTCGCGTTCGTGATTATTTATTGTGGCTCGAAAGGAAATGTTACTGAACACTTCGTTGTCCAAATGAGATTTTAATCATACTTTTCTAGAGGCAAGAAAAAAAAAACTTTAAATTATATCAAGTTTTTTTTTTTTTTTTTTTTTTCATTTGCAAATCTAGGGTTGAAAAAACGTGTCACTCATTAATGCGAGTCAGCTTGAATTTCATAAAAAAACACAATTCCACGTGCAGCAGAGTCAGATGAAAATACCGTTCCGTTGAAATTACGTGAGGCTTTTTGAGAAATGCTCATTTTAGTGCTAATGCGTGTGAATACCGGCAAAGAAAATTGCTGTTTGATTCGCTCTCTAGAAATGAGTAGTGAAAAATAAATGGAACGCTGCAAAGTAAAGCGTGGAATTGAAAAAAAATAAAACAAAATTGTTTTATTTTAATCAACAAGGGAACTCGGACACTAATTTTTTAAAAATTTGATTCCAATGGAAAGTATAGAATAACGTTACAAACTTGTACATACGAGTTTTCATGCACATCACTTTCCACGTACGTATCAAAGCCACGAAACATCTACAAGGCGGAAACAACCACACTTTTATTCCCGATGCAACACACGTTGACTGGGCATAAAAATATCAAAGTATGCGTATACGCTAGAAGCGATAAAACGCTTTTACGAGATTTTTCCCTCCAGCTAAGGGCGGTACTTGTACTTGGCACTGAGATGCATAAAAAAGCCAGCAGTCCCCTACTCCATCGAAGACTGAACCAAGCCAACGTGGGCGAATAAAAAGAAGTAATTTTTTTTTACTTCTCAAGTACTCAATCTCCCAAAATACCACTGTTCCAAAAATAACGTCTGGTCACACGTGTGCGATTCTGTTTAATCATGTCTCGGGGACAATTAAGCTACGCAGCTTCAATTAACTGTACGAATCAAAAGTAATAATTCTCTAACATCCAATATCAAGTCGTAAATTTTCCAAATCCTTTTTAAGAAAAATCTCTGTAAAAACGAAAGTGATTAAGAACCAATTGATCACAAAGACATTCCGCAGAGTCGAGCCTGATGACGTGTTTCCAGGGAATGCCAGGTAAGCGCGCGTGGGCCCCTCGAAAGGAAGTAGGAGAGACAGAGACTCGCATCACCGCGGGTAACGTGATGATTTTATCCTTATGGAGTCGAAATAGAGTATCGATGGCTCGTACGGTTTCCACCACCCCCGTGGATATACAGCTTCTCGGACCGCTCGGTCGGAATAATTAATTCCCGGGTAAGAAAAAAAAAAAAAAAAAAAAAAAGGCTCAGCAGGTGTATCGGCCGCTCAAAGAGGAGCCGAGCGAAAAAAAAGGATCATCGGCCGCGATTTTTCCGTACAGCGTGTACAACAGAGCGAGCCGGCAAATATTTGCGCTCGGCGCATTCCTGCGCGTCGTCCTCGGCTCATTCTCTCTTTGCTCCTTTCTCTGCTCTTCGACACTTTTGCACCAAGGCGCTCGAGCACACGTGAGCTGGATCCGCTAGCAGGAAATTATATGTACCCTTCCACGGCGAGTTGTCGAGAAAAGGAGTTGGGCGAGAAAATAAAAAGTCTCGTCGACTTTTGTTTCGGTGCTTTTTTCATTTTTTGCTTCGCAACTGCGTAATTGCCGCGCCTGAGGATACACCTTAATCTTTCTTTCCTTTTTTTCCCCCCAAAGTTGTAAATGGCACTGCATTTCAACTGGAGGGAGTTTGGATCCAAAAAATGGCACAACCACTCAAGTTATGGATTGACAAACAACAAGCTGGCAAACCCGCTTATTCGATTACGGCAATTACACAGGAAGCAAACAAATAAGCAAACCGCAGCGATTATACGTAAAGAGTACACTCGAGCGTACGCACAAACTCATCTGCTAATCAACTAATTGAGCGAGTCTGGGATAGCGATAGCGATGGGAGTAGTGGTGGCAGCAGTTACGTAGCCAGTGGCGAGCGAATTGAGGTGATTAAGTAGCCACTCGTCGGAATTGAGGCTTGGATTGATACGGAGAGGGCTGGAGGGGAAACTCGCCGGCTTCTCGGTGAGGGTGAGACGCGGAAGGATTTCTCTCGAGAGGCGGGGGGGGGGGCGAGATAGAAGGGAGAGAAGTGCTTCCGTGAACGTAAGCGCGTTTGCATTTGGATGTATACCTACCTACTCGAGAGTGGAGTATTTGTAAGGGAAGAAGTGGCCTCGAATGGGATGGAGATTGATTTTATGATCGGCGGGCCGAGCTGGGAATCGAGTTCTCGTTTTCATGGCAAAGGTGCTGTGTTTCTTCGTGCGGTAAATGGGATCATGGGCTGGATTTGATTTTTCTGATTGCAATTACAAGGGAGACTTTTTGTTGTAGAAATAACACAGAGTTTCCAAACCTATTTTAAAGGTATAGTTAACACTTTAAGATTTCAAGTAACCAAACTGCTCATAAATAATGGTATTCCATACAGTAATACAAATGGTGCAAAAATAATTTTTGATATCCTAAAATATTTCGTACTGTTACGTGGGAAAGAGATTACGTGAGAAAGAGTGCCATTAATGCTTGTCTCCGAAATCAATTAGACAACTCGAGTGGGTACACAAGTTTGGTATTTGTCCATCGAAACAAGCGCGCCTCCTCCCCTTTTTAGATCAATTGATAAAAGCTCATCAGTGCCATGTCAGAGAAGCAACAAAAGAGAGAGAAAAAAAAGGTAAAAAAAAAAATAAAAGGACATCATCGGCATCGATTATTCAATTGCGGTGCGCACCGCTTGAAAATAAATTAATTCAAGCGCCCGCGGGCCTGGCTTAGTTTTCGCTAATTGAATCGGCACGGCATGAAAAAGAGCATGCGGGCTCTGACCATTTTTTTTTCCATTTGAGCTTTAGCCCGGCAATTGCAGGAATTAATGGACGCCGCTTCCGGGGCGCTCTCCCCCTTTTTTTCCGCGGCCGAGTATCAACGCGTGAATTAACTAATTAGTTTTTCTCCCCGGCTATTATACGAGAGAGGAAGGGGATGCAAAAAAATGGAGCAACGCAGAGAGAGGAAAATTTCCTCTTATTCAAAACGTTCTCTCGCTTTTCGTGACTAAAAGTGAACGATCTCTCCAGGAAATGGCCAGTTACTCGAGTTTTTTTTCACTGCAACGCGCGTTCAAAGCCGTGGGAACCTCAACAATTTTCTTTGATTATTATCGCGAGGCGATACGGATAAGAACGACCGGGGGAGGATGGTGAAACAACGGGGCCGCTGGTGTCGACGCAGTTCCGATAAACGGAAATGGCACGAGCGATAGGGATGAAATTGGTCCTGGAACAAGGAGCCTTTTGCCTTTTATTTCATCCGATTAGTCCTGTTTCGGTTATGCAGAGGAAAGGTGTATCTCTTACCCCCTTTTTTTTCTTTTTTTACTGATTCTCATCTGTTCGCGCTGCTCGATAAGTTTGGAGGTATAAATTGAATACATGTTTTTTTTTTTTTTTTTTTTTTTTTTTTTTTTTTTTTTCCTACGGCACGTAATGGCCTTTTTTGCCGGATTATCGTCACGTCCAAGCTTTACGGTGACTTAGGATGAGGTGATCGATGCCCTTCTCCACTTTTTTCTTGCCCGATCGACGGGACGGTCATGTAATTTTGAAAAGAAAACAAAAAGGTAGTTTCACCATCTGCTGCATAAATCGGAAAGGTGGGGGTGATTTTTTGTAATTTAAAAATTGAATATTAATACTTTTGGCTGGAGAATTAAATCCAGGCTTACATGCGGTGAAAAACTTTGGCAAAATTATTGGAAAGCGATTTCGCGAGTAACAAAAACTTGGATTGCAACTTTGTACATCGCCCGAGCGAGCTGGAAATTGTTGAGCGAATTTCATTAAAAAAAAAAAAAAAAAAAAAAAAAAACACGCTTCAACTTTGTTTCGACTAAACAGACGATGATGAAAAATCGCAATAGCCTAGCTCATTAAAAGTTTTCAATGAGCTAGTTTTTTTTTTTTTTTTTTTTTTTAGGGGGAATTCAAAAGCTCCTAGCTTAAAACCCAAAAAGCAGCGGAGCGCATTTACGAGTCGAGGATCGCTAAGCCCCGCAGATTCGAGAAAAGCCACTTTAGTTTTCCAAAACCGAACGGGGGAAGACTCGGAGTATTTGCGCAAGTGCTATACTTGTGCGGTAGGTATGTTTTTAACCATCAAAGGGACGAAAACGTAGCAATTTTACAGCAAAGGTTCGCTCTAAGGGAAAAAAAAAAGATTCAATTTCCACTCGATTGGAGGATTAGTAGTCACAAATGACCGACCACTCTCTGCGGCTCCTAAAATACAAGCTCAATGTATCACAGCGGGCGACAACAATAGCCCGCCATTTGACGTATCAAGTGGCCGGGGCATACATGCACGCGACTCCGTTATATACCGTTGCGAAACACAAACCGAGCCCACCGTCCCGGTAATTATCATGAGTATACATGTCGGCTCTCTTAGCATTGTCCTGCCAATTGCAGTACATTCAAGCCGGCAACTCTCTCTTTTGATGCAAGCTCTCTTTGCAAAGAGCTGAGAGAAGACTGGAGATGAAAAAAAAAAAAATAAAATAAAATAAAACACGACTTACCGCTACGGTGTCCTCGAGCTTCCGCTTCCAAGTGTCGCTGCGTTCGATCAGGGCGTTCCACTGCTCGGATAGTTTGTTCACCTCCCGGCGGATGCTGCGCGTGAGCTCGCGCGCCTGCTCCTCGGCGCTCCTGAAACGTAGGTCGCCGTCCAGGTCGCGACCGACTGTCGGATATTATATCGAAAGATCCAGTTAGTCGACATGATTTCGGTGATACAGAGTGAGGTGGGGGATGAAAAAAAAAATATATTGTATATATGGTAGGTACGAGGGATAGCAACGGAGCGCGAGGTCGTGGGCCAAAAATATAGATTAGAATTTCCCGGTGGAGCCGCTCGTTGGCTTCATTAATGGAGTGCGCCCGGGCGTCCAATATCGGTGCCGATATCTGCTCCGCCGCGAAAGTGGTGCTCGAACATTTTACTTTCTCAATAATACACACCGAAATTGGCGTGAAAGATAGCTTTTAATTAAGGCTATTACCGAATGCTTCGGCTCAGCGGGAGGGTCGATAACTGCGGCATCGGGTGTAATTAAATTCTTCTTCTTTTTTTTTTTTTTTTTTCGGCGAGATCGTGTACACGGATTTGTAGATTGTACACTTCAACCCGGTGCTTGTGGTACGTACGGTATACTTGTGCTTTGAAAAGGTACAATGTACAATTGCGTACGAAATCGTGACATCACGCGAAACGAGACACGCGCCGTTGTTGAAACCACCTGCATCGACGCGTTAATTAACTGCTACGCATTTGGTACTTTTTTTCTCATCACTTTTGGAAAATAAAAAAACGCATCAACAATTTTCGTGTTTTTGTTCAACGCACCGGGTAAAATAACCGCTCGGCAAAGCTCGCGCAAACGAAGCGACAAAGTCCATTCGGGCCGAAAGTATTTCCAGGAGCGCGCCACAAAATTAAATCATCCCCCGGAGGGGAGGAAGCGTAGTCGGGCGGTGCGATTAGCTCGTCAACCGGCGGCGCGGGAGCTCGAAATTTCACGTCCACCGCGACAACGACGAGCCAACCAGCGTAAATCAACAGTGCCCCGCAGATAGGGCCGTTATCAATGCTAAACACGGGACGGAAAAACGCGGGACCAACCCTTTGTCGGTGCGTAGAGAAGAGGAAGGACGCGCGGCCGTGATTCATCGGACGATCGATAGCTCGCCGAATATTCCACCGATAACTATACACCGGCAATCATCCGTAGGAGGAAAAGCTCTCGGGCTGCAGCTATAGTCGAGTACAGGAAAGGAAAAAAAAAAAAAGCTCACCTTCGGAGTCGGACGTGTCCGATAGGGGTGGCTCGTTGGCGATGTACTGCCGGCCGCTCAGCAAGCTGTTCTCGACGACCGGCTTCTTGTCCTCGAGCTGGCGCCGGAACGCGCGGTGGTCGTCCTGAAACGATACAATGTCATTCAAGCACAACTACTCAATTTCATGACGAGTAAATTTGTATCTCCATCGCGAACATGCGGGCCAACTTTCAAGCGAGCGAATGGTTTTTTTGCAACGGATGGGAAAAATTACACCAGAAGCGCGAATCGGGCGAAAGAGAGGCCTCAAAGTTGGGGCCGACGAGTGGATTATTCAGCCCCGGCGCCCCGTAAAATGTACGTATGTATAAATTAACCAAAGTGCGCCTTCTTATCGCCGGAGCGCACGAGCGTCGCCCTACTGCTTCCCGCGTTAAACCGGTGCAAGTTTATCTCTGCTTTTTTCAGAGCCAGCCCCACTCGTCCCGGAGCATCCGTGGAGCCCTAATTTGCGCGCGTCGTCTCTTTTTTTCGCGTCCACGCGCACTTGAGGAATCAATCTTTTTTTTTTTTTTTTTTTTCCTCCTCAAATGCAAAAAGGGGACGACGGCCGTGCTCCCGTGTCAAGTGTAGTCGGCGATGCGAGAGCAGCCACTTTGGCTTTTCTTTGAAACTTTTGCGAAGCGCAAAAAGCGTCTGACGGGGAAAATCATTGGCTGCGAGACGAGTGTCGCGAGATGACTTTTTTCAAAAACGAAGAGAAATCCAATTTGCGATTTTCGCGCGGGAGGGAACGACAATAATTCATACGTATTACTCGAAAAAAAAAAAAAAAGAAATCTTCCACGTGTATATAGTCCCCGTAAAGTTTGCTTGGCGCGTTACACTTTCAGCGAGTGTCGCGCGTGTGCGTGGAAAATATTCCATTTGCAAAGTTCGAGCTGCAATTTAAAATTCACTCCCAGCTGCGTCATATCCCGGCACGCGCGCGAAATAAAAAACTTTCGAAACTCCACGGGGCTAAGGAAAAGATAATAAATTGCACAAGGAAGAATGACAAATTTTTGGTTTTTCCACACGGCCTCTGGAATACTCGATAAATGCTTGCTCGATCCCCATAATTGGTATTAAAATGAAATTTAAGGTTCTCGGTAACCATCAACTATAGTCACTTCAGAGTGCCATCTTTACAAATTATATACGAATAAAGTTCGCCGAATCCGGCACCTATCGCTTTCTCATATACACCAGTCGAGTCTTCCCTTGTCGTTCCTCCCTCACGCCAACCCTCGCTTGTCAACTGCTAAGCTAAAAAAAAAAAAAAAGTCTCCCCCGCGTCCAACTCAAAACTCATTTTAACGAACAAGGGATTCGTGATCTTCCGTGGGCGAGAAACCATGGCATCCCTCGTTGTAAAGAGTACGAGGTACTTATACGACGCCATCAAGCGTTATATTGGATCGTTTAACGCACCCGTAGATGCCTGTAACAACCTCGAGGGATTTCTTTTTTCTTTTCTTTTTTTTTACGGCCAAGGACCAAATTGCTCGCACTCGCGTGTGCAAGCTTGCAAGTGTAAAAAGTCTTCCGCGCGATTGTGATCGAAGAGAGTATATATATATATAGGTAGAGGGGGTGGGAGTTTTGACGATTACGAGTTCATTCGTCACGGAGACGTTAAGATTTTACCGTGGAACACGCGATCGATTATTTATGGAAATCATAGCGGACAAAGGCGAAGACTAAAAGAAAAACAGTAATCCCGGCTAATGGATGATACCGAACTGTCGGGCAGCGGGAGGGGAGGGAAGAGCTTACCATCGTCGTGGGGGAGGTATAAAAGCCAAGAAAGCTCGAACGTTATGAAAAAAAAAAAAAAAAAAAAAAAAAAAAAAAACTTTGTTCGCGAGGAAGCGAAGGGAGAGGCATTGCCATCCCCTACGTCGAATAAGAATATATATATATATAAAAAAAATAAAAAAACCCCCACAACGACACCATCAAAAAGCCTCTATCCACCCAGCTCCAATCGATACGGGATAACCCCACGGTACGTATCCGATCCTTCGAACATCCCGCGTGTACCAAAACCCCCACTGTTGTATACTCCACTTTGGAGGGGGTGAAAACACGCACACACTCGCGATCACGGAAGACACGGTTAACGTATACGTTGGGCGCTAGCTGCTGTCACCTACTGTACCTATCCTTATCTCGGCCCAGCCATATTGGCAGGGCATATGTATACGTGTACACAGGTACACTCAACAACAACGTCCACGCCCGGCCTCGGGCTACATTGGAACGCACACGGGACATCGCGTTCGCCCGCTAATCGCGGCACATTGGAGCTTCATGCGCGGGTGTATATACGTACACACACGCGAAGGGCTTTAGCCCTTGCTATTGCCCATCTCTATATGTATGTACGTCGTTTCGTACGAATAATCGGTTACGCGGTGGCATCTGTACATAGGTGTACACCGGATGTGTCGCTATTTAACACGTGTGTGTAATGTATAGGACTACGCCGTCCACTGTTGTGGTGCTTGCGTCTTTGTCGGGGAGTGCGCGGGGAAGGTTTTTTTCGCGTCCAAAGGGACACGTCGGGTTTAAGGACCTTGGATAAGTGTGTGTATGTGTGTGTGTGTGTTCTACTGCTACTGATCGCGAAAAAATATAATATTCCAAGCGAGCGAAATAGTCATCGAATAAAACCCATCATGATTTCATTTATAATTTTAGTACATTATCAAACCATCGAAATTTAACCGATACCAACATGTAAACGTGTACACATACGCATAAACAGGTTCATACGTATATAGGTATGAGCACGTCCCATTTGTCGTCCTTTATAGCTCTGTATATCCGTCGAAGGGAGCGGCTTTGCGGTCAACCATTCGCAAAGGTGCTGGTATATATATACACGAGAGTCAGCGAACCCATGGGCGCATGCATCAGGTATATGTGTATATACCACCACCACCAATAACACACAAACGCGTAATCGAATCCGCGAATTATACCACCCGCCACACGCTCGTGTACTCATCGGAGCGCGTAGCGTGCATATTATCATACGCTTCTGCTCTCGCGGCTGTTACCCGATGTATGTGCGCTGTAACGCGTACACATACATATATATATATATATATATATATATACAGAGTATGGGCACCTATAGATTCGTGTGGCGTGATTACCCACTTNTATACACGCTCAGGTGCACATGGGTTTCCGCAAAGGGAGTACTACCGAAAAGGCTATATAGAGAGAAGTGGAGCGTATGTGTATATATATACCTGCTGCTTCTGCAGAGCCGGAATGTCGCCGCATAGGGGCCCCAAGCCCGTGAGCTCGGTGTCCTTCCGTATCACCCACTCGATGAGCTCGCGCAGCGACAGCAGCAGCGCGTTCCAGTGCTCCGTGTTGCTCTCCAGCCGATTCCTGTGGAAAAACCAAAGCGTTGTATACTCCCTTCCTTCTTTTCCAACTTTTTCTTTTCTTTTTTTTTCTTTTCTCTTTTCAGTTGCTCCTCGCGGAGTCTCTCCCTTTCTTCCTCTTGACGTATCCTTTTTTTTTTTTTTTTTTTTTTTTTTTTTTTTTTATAGGAGGAGGAAAAAAAAAGTTTGGTCGCGCGCCTAGCGGTTCTCCTCGATGGGATGCACGCGACACTTGATCGGATTGACGGGCTGTGGTCGCCGTCTAGTTTACTTCGCTAACGAAGAAAAATGAACTCGCGAAAGAGGGACCCTCTGCGGCTACGGCTCTCTCTAGCGGTGATGGCCGATTTTACTCTTGTATTTCTCTCTGCGGGTGCTTGCTTAGTCAAACTTTGTGCTGGACACACTCTCTCTCTCTCTCTCTACGAGCGACGCGGTGCACAGCTCACGGGGAAATTTCGTTCCGAATCAATCGTTCGATCACCAAAGTGTAGGAAAAACTCAAACACCCTTCCCGGCAATGCTCTCTCTCTCTCTCTCTCTCTTGGTTAATTAATATAAACGTGTCTCGTTACTTTTTGCGAACATTTCCAAGCTGCGCCTTTCAAGCTCAATTAGCCGACGAGCTCAATTGTGAAAATTTGACTCCCCCGTCACGGCAAGGAAAAACGGCTCTCCGGTGTACCACCCAATTAAAGCTTTCCTTTTTATTCTCTCTCTCTCTCTCTCTCTCTCTCTCTCTCCTCTATGCTCCCTCCCAAAGAAGAAGAGAGCTTTTGTAACGCGTCGTTAGTCAGTTTTACTGACGCTCGATCGACGCGGGAAGAAATGAAAGGAAACGGAGGCGCCTGTCGGACGAGAAATCCGACGTGTCGTTACACGGGGAAACGCGATGGCGTTGAATAATGTCAAGCGCAACAATAATCAGCACCCGCGCACTTTTTCGGGCCGCACGTCTCTCATTATCGCAAATTACGCGCTGAACAATGGCCACTCTCTTGCGCGCTGGTGTATTCATTACAGTTTCGAGGCCCCGAAATTCCATAGAGCCAACAACAACCGCCTCTTTTATCCGCAAGATTAAACCTCCAATCAATTCGGCCGGATAATTCATAGCCAGCGCGTACACCGCCGTGTTGTATCGTACGCACGAGCAATAAACTAAACAAGCCCCTGAGCCCTCCCCTTTTCTCCCGAGAGCTCATGAAAAGCAAAGTTACACACCCATCCGCTCGAGCAGGCGCGTACAGAAATCACGCGCCAGTGGATCCCTACTCGCTCGGAAACCACCGACTGCTCGACGCACCCGCGAAACCAATTCGTAACGTTACACCCTTTGAAAATCAAAACTCCGAGTTGCTTTTCCGCGTCCGACTAACGCTTGGTTACAACGTGCGTACGAGCACCCTCGAGAGGTGGGTGTATCGCTGATGTCCGGCTCTTATAGGGGGTGGGGGAGCTTAGGGATGGTCGTCCGCTCGTACCCCTTGAATTATGACGCTTGTTCGGAGATGATGTGTTTGCGAGGTGTGCGCCCGGAAATTTCCACCCCGATGACTTTGCTCTCGCTTCCCTGCGCTTCTTTGCCTTATCGTTTGCGCACACGTTGTTGTGTGTATACATACGCTGTTGCCTTGGAATTGTGTATTTATATTGTTTGGCTTTTCTTTTCTTCAAAAGTGTTTCCATACGCGGTGTTGTATTTTCGAAAAACTTTATTTACTCAAGGGGATCGACCCGCTCATTTTACAATTATCTCTGCTCGCGTATGACAAACTTTATACTTTGCGTTCGTTGCAAGTTTTTTCTTTTTTTTTCTTTAATTCCACATTTGTTTTCTGTAGTTAATGGGTCCACGTTGTGAATAATGTACACGCAACAATGCATCACTGCTGACCTAGGTAAATACAAAACTTGCATTTTTATACACGAAAAAAAAAAAAAAAAAATGATCTGCTTAAATGAAGTCTAATTTAATTAAAAGAGCTTTCAGCCCACCGTGGATGTATAAAATTTTTTTCACAGAGCTGCTTTGAAATGTCCTCGTAACTCGGTCATATATCAACATTATTTCAACAAATCCGGTATCTCCTCGAAAACGCCCATTAATCATGTGAAAATCACAAAATCAAATTATTCGAGCGCGCTCCACGTATAAGAAGATTACAAATAATCGAGTTAAAAAATAAACTGCATCGCCAGCAGCTGCTTCCCTCCGTACGTATATCATGTATGCGGTGTAAGCGGTGGTGCGGACATGCCCGAGAGTCCCGTATAAGCCGACAGGGGTGGGGGTGTATCAACGCCCCGGCATCACCCCGAGAACATAATCCACGGAAATCTGCCCTCCCGTGTGTTTAGCGATTAATTATGTGGCCGATCGACTTTGTCTAATTGACTGGGCCCGGGTTTTCGCGCCCACCAACCTATAGATTGGTCGCGTCTAATTGCTCGAATCGAGGATCGCCCCAGCGGATTTCGTCAAAACACGTTCAACGTGCACGTGGTATTTGCGCAAGATTCTAACGTACGTATGGATATTTTGTGTGCGGGGGTGTGTGAGTGTTGGGGAACGCGAGGGGATTACGTGGAGGTTTGAAAAACAGAGAGCTTTTCGATGCGCGACCGAGCTCCGGAGGGGATTTTTCATTTCGCCGAGTAATTGGAAAAAAAACAGGGCGTATTATGTAAAGCGAGAGGAGCTTTGTCATTGCGTGCCCGGGAAATGACTAATTGGACGCCGCGAGGGGGGGACCCGGATTATTGAACATTTTTTTTTTTTTTTTTCAAACGCGCAAGCTCGGAATTCAAAAGGTGAAATTTAACGAGTAAAGGTATCGTTAAATAACGATTTCTCCGACGTAGTTTTATATTCCGCTTAGAGAAACAACTTTGGAGTTGTTGTGGAACATAATATTGTACTATAGAGACTCGTGACATTTTTTAGGGGGTGGGGGATCTTTTTTACTTTGTAGCATCTTTTCTGAATAATTCAACGCTTTCGTAAAATGTACAGCTTCGTGAATATTGATCTTGGAGATGTTTTCCAAGCTCCTCGGGTTCTGCGTAAAATATTCAGGTTTCTTTAATAAATCGGGACTCGGTAGATGTCGCTGTGGAGGAAACAGTCTTTACCTCGTAAAACAATTGCCTTGAAATAAGTAAAACCGAGCATATTATCGGATGATTTATTTTACGCTGAGGCGAGGAATCAAAGGTTTATGAACGAATGTCTGAAAAAAAAGTGTCCCAATGTTTTTGCTTCCCAATTTTTCCAGTCTCTTTCCATAACTTCAAGACTTTTAGCACGATAAAGTGCAGGGCATTTATAATTTGTAATTAAATTTTTCCCCGATATTTTCCATCCACGAATAAATGAGAGGCTTCTTGTTTAAATGAAAAAAATATCCAACCCTTGCTCTTTCAAAAGCTCAAATCACGAGGATTCACTTCTCCTCGTAGAAACAGGAGATGTTAATTTTCAGAATTTCGCAAAATTAAAATTCGCGACTCGCGGAAACAAGACGAGGATTAATTAATTCCTTAATTTTCGCAGATGCACCGAAACTCGAGCAGCGCGACGTCTGAGATGTTATTATCATCATTATTTTTGTTTCTACTGTCTCCTATGAAACACGTCTCGCGCGCAAGTGCGCGTCAATTAATTCCGTACCTACGGGTGATACGAATATAGATGACACGTTAATCCTCAGCCCGAGCGGCTAATTAATTTTAACCGAGTGGATGAAACTCCGCGTTTCCCTCTGTGTACATATTATATACATGTAAGTGTACACAATATCAGGTAATTTTTGCCGCGGCCACGTAATCGATACACCGAGGATGCCGGGCTCGTTTATTATTAGCCGTATCCAACGGCGGCAGCAGTCGATATTCATTTAAGCGCGCATCGGAGCTGTGGCGTCGAAATTATAAATGAGCCCCGGCGTTCAATATAAATGTAAATTACTCAACTGCGGAGTAGTGACGCCAAGTTTTTTTTTTTTTTTTTCTCTCGCCTGCACCGTAGTCATCGTGGTAAATAACGTTTCGGCCCTCGTCATTGTGGATGTGTATGTACAGGGCGATGATAATAACAATATCTCGAGCTCGAGAAATTGCTCGGAAGAAAAATCCTCGCGCGGCACACGTCGATGTCCCGAGCACTTGGGACCCATGAAAAATTCACGCCGCGAAATCGCGAAAGGAAAATCCCACTCGATTATTCAGGCGCGCCGAGCGGGGCACCATAATGCCAAGATTCGTCGGTATAGGATGTACCATAATCCTATGACGACGACGACTCTTTTACAAGCCGATGAATTATTGAGACGCGAGGGAGAACGCTGCCCGAGTGTATGTTTACGGAAGTTCTCGAGTGCATCTGCGCACCGGCGAAGAGAGTATATATATATATATATGTATAATTCTAGGGATAACGAGACAGCGGATGAGGCGCTCGGGGGACCAGGATAGCTGCATGAAAATTTAGACTTTTGCTGCTGCGTGGAATATTTTTGTTTTTCATTCTCTTTTCTTTTCGTTCTTCTAAAAAGTAGTACATGTCGAGTGAAAATTTTAAATCACCAAAGTTATTTCGCTCATTTTGAAGATGAGTTTCATCATGACGTTGTGTTTACAATTTAATAAGCATACCAGTGAAATTATAATGACGAGCTTGTGGGAATTACCATACAAATTGCCAATCGACAATGACTTTGGAAATAATAACAAACAAAATGCCAACTTCCACGGAATTCGGCAGTAGAAAGTAAAATCGAGACAAAATATTATGCCGATGCAAGTAAAAAGAGTTGAAACTCTTGGCCTACATTCGGGAAATTGCAACGATTACGAGTCCATTAGCAAATGTCCGATTGCGAGACACTGCGATAAGTAACCGTGGATGGAAGAATTAACGCTCGTCCGAGCACGGCTCTTCCTCGTAATGCAACGAAGCAACAATGGCAACAAGCATTTTTTTCGAGAGAGAAAGAGAGGGGAAAAAAGTACGTTATACCAGGAAGCGTCGGCCATGCAAGAAAAGCGCGTTGAAAGCTCGATTCTTCTGGGTCGGAAAGTGGGAGGAAAAAAAATTACACTCACAGCACGAAATTGCAAAATCGAAGAATGAACATTGTACGCAAGCTCGGCAAGAACGCACAAGAAGATAACGAAAAAGAAAAACGAGAAAGGAGGACAGGCGCCAAGACAGTGGATCGCGGAAGAGCAGCTGGGAATAATTAAAGATGCCCCGCATAGGGGGGGGGGTGAACTTTACAGCCATTTGTCGAGCCTATCGATGCAAAAGAGTGCACTGGAGTGACACAAAAAGTAAATCACAACTGCGTGAAAATGTTCAAATTTCCACTTGATTAGTCGCGTGGACTAAAAATTAAAAATTACGCTCATCTGTACGCAACCTTTTTTTTTTTTTTTTTTTTTTTCACCAACTTTCACCAAGGGACCCGCCAGCTTGCGCCAGGAAAGTGAGCTCGCGTTGTCAGTCGAGAGCCGACGCTGAATAAATCAAGAGGCTCTTTTTGGTGCGCGCCCGGGCGACTGGAGAGGTGCGAAAATAGCAAGTCAACGCCCCTCGCGACGATAAAGATGGAGCGACAAAACGCACAGGGGCATCGATCGGGGCTGCCGGCACTCCCTCGATACAACAAGCCGCTGGTGTATCATCTCCACCGCGTTCAAATCGTGTACATACTATAGAGAAAAGTCGCGTTACATTGGACGAGTTTGTTTCGCCTCGAATTAATCACTCGGATAGATCGCGCTAATCTGCTCGGGACAAAAACCGAGAGCGCGGCTGTTCCGCGGGAATCTAAGGCTGCGGCAAAAAGCTTCCCCCTCTGTCTAATCTACCCGAGTTAGCGAGCGGCCATTAGAGGAGAGCCGATACGGCACAGCCGAGCGTTTTGCGGAAAACGAGACCCCCCGATAATCTCAACTCATTTTCCCGAGGCAGCTTTTTCCGACGCTTGTGTGTATGGTATAAGTACGCTCTTTTTCCTGTCTTTTTTTTTTTTTTTTTTTTTTTTCACCGCTTCGCGTGTATGTACTTGGACTTCAAAACCAGCTCCGTTGGTGGAATGAAGCTGGGGTTCGTGTATCCTGTGCGCGGTGGAGTAAAAGGAGAAAAAAAGCTCGTGCTAATTTCCGCGTTGCCTTTGAAAAAAAAGTCGGGGAGAGGGAAATTGTGCAGTTTGCGGAGGAAAAAGAGATTCGTTTTTTTTCTTTTTCTTTTTTTTCTTCCGAGGGGTGTAAATAGATGGATGTTGTTAATAAAGAGAAAAGAAGGGTTCAGTCGTTTTGTAATACAATTTTTTGAAAAACTCGCTGTTTCGATGACGAGACACCTATGCAACCGTCCATATGCGAGCACGGAGCATATAAAGGGATCGAAGGGAAAAAGCTCGACAATGACGGACGCGGGGCGATAAAGCTTGAGGCAGATGAGACAAGGCTGTGACAAACGACGGCGCTTATTCAAAGGATATCAGAGGGAGGCGAAAAAAGTAATATCCAAATCCAAGCTGGATCGGCAAAAAAAAAAAAAAAAGCACAGTGTAGAAGCACTCGGCAATCGTTTCCGAGAAATTATGATTCGATTAAGAGCCCGTGATCACCCGCAGAGTCGAAATGAAAAGTACTTGAAAGAAGAAGGCCGATCTTGATCATCGGCATCAGCAATTTTTCATCTCCTCCACCTTCTCTATTGAAAAAAGAAAGAAAAGAAAGAGCGTCCCGCTAGGAAATTAATATCGCGGACGAACCTCTTTCCGCACAAAGCCTCGTTCTCTCTCTCTCTCTCTCTTCTGCCGGGCCCTTCAAACTTTTTCAGTTAAGCGGAATGAGAGGAGGCCGGAGAGAAGGAGGGGATAATGAATTAATGCAACGCAAGAATCCGATCCAAGAAGCACAGAGGAAGGACGTACACGAGGGTCTACCGGGCAACTATAGTTTCCGGAGGCGGACTTCAAAGGGAAGCCGGAATTTGGGGGCCCTCTCTCTCTCTCTCTTTGCTTTTAACTTGCTTGCCCGTGCTCTCGGCAACAACGACCAAACACTTCGAGCATCGCTGAAATTGTTCGATCGAAACTTGTGCGCTGGTGGGCTTTAAGCGCTTCTATGGCTCTTATACGCGTAATTAACTCGGAATGCCAAGTGGGCGTGGCGATTGTCGGACGAACGGAGAGTTTTTTTTTTTCAAGGGATGGTGTTTGAATTTTTTTTTTTTTTTTTTTTTTTGTAGAAATAGTTTTGTTATACATGGGCAAAACTCACCTGATGGCCATGCTTTTCGCCTTGAGATGGTGCCACCGCTGGTTCATCTCGTCGAGCCGACGTTGGAGCATGACAGCATCGTCCTGGCTTGCAAGCGAGCTGAGAAGCTTGCGCCCGGTGCCGTTGAGCGAGGCGTAAACATCATGATGCGTCTCGATTTCCGACTGGAGGTCCTGAAACGGACAATTTTTTGAGTACAATGGATCGGTCGGCCGTTGCCAACTACCTTAATGTATTCATGCTCGTGTAATGCGGGTTCTCGAGTATATATCCTGCCAAGTGATATTGTTGGATATCGAGTCTTTGGAGCGTCACGGGTCGAGAAGCCGTTTGAATTTTTTTTTTTTTTTCATCTCAACGTAAGTGTAAGTGACAGCGTAGTTTGGATTTTTGTGTTGTGTGTTTGGTTATATTTGCAGAAGTGCTATTAATTATTTAAGAGAAAAGACTGATGTATTTATAAATAAATTTATTTAGAATAACAATTCATTTGGCCGTCCACACGAGAAATTACCCATACCAGTCGAATTTGTAGTTTTAGGGCCATGTCTGACCAGAATCGTTTTGTACTACTTTTTTATGAAAATCATCGGTTTCGGTGCATCCTTGAGTGAAAAAAACAACAAAATATGATTAATATATTTATCTACAAGGCTCACGTATTCGTACCTAAATTTATCAATAATTTTTACGAGGAGATGGTCAGTAAAACTGTTTAAGGCGATGTCTGACCAAAATCGCTTCATACTACTTGTTTGCAAAAATTCCCGATTTTACATGCATCTGGGCATTAAAAAAAAAAAAAAAAAATAACAACAATAAACTAGAACGCTAGCGGATCGCAAGAACTGAATATTTTTCAATAACCCGAGCCCTTCGAACGAAATAAACTACTCCACCTCCCATCGTCGAATAGACTGAACCTCGGCTGTACTTCGACTCAATCTGAAGAGTTTCCATCCTCAAAATAGAGGCAAATCTTGAAATGGTTGCGGCAGCGCATGAATCTCTAACAGAAGACAATATTGAAGATGGATTTGAAGTGAATAAAAATACGGAGACTCGACAAGGTAAGATAGATAGAGACGCATAACGGAGAGCCATAGGGGTGACAGCAGAGACTTCTCGTTACTCCCGTGCTTCTTGACACTTCACCTGCTGCTGCTGCTGCTGCTCGATTATTGCCTTCTGCCAAGCGTGTCGCTTCGTTCGCGTTTGCTCTCGCGGATGGATGAGCTTCTGCAAGGAGAGGTGAGCGAAGATTGCGACTCCAGTTTCTCAAACGAACTACATGCGTCTGATCCATCTCCCTCCCACACTGAAATATCTGGAAATCTGATCTCAGGAGAAATACCGAGACCTTATACAATCCTATACAGCCATCTGACGATGCCAGGTGAGAGGTATACACACGTTCGAAATATCGATTTTGTTTCTCAAGATTTTCATGATGCTCGTGCTCGCGATCGGATTATTTAATTATGTTAAATTATGAATGGTGTACGCCTCGATAAAATTGGTCAGCTGCTAGCTAATATACGTGAAAATGGAACCGTCAAGTGTCTACAAAGCGAAAACAGAGCGAAAACGATGATTTTTAAACAAGCAGTAGTAAAGTCCGCGTTAGGTCAGCCACAATGGGATATTACGCTGCCCAACAATTCCCAACATTCCAGTGCACGTTGGAAAAAAACTTGTAAACAAATAAAATACAATAAAATTTTATTTTCTCCTCCCAATCCCTCCCAACTGCGAAATGCTGTTACCTGCTCGAAATACCTCAGCTCCGCGATGAGCGCGTAAGACAGAAAGATGAACCGCGCGTCGGCGGAATGTCGCAGAGGGCGGGGTCCGCGACAGCGCTGGCGCCAGCGGCAACAGCTGCCGGGCCAGGTGTCCGGGCCCAGGTTGGCGGCACCCCCATAACCCACCGTGATCAGGTATCCCAGCAGCATCGCCGCCTCATCGCTGCCACCGTTGCTCGCTCACTTCAACCTTATTCTATTATTTTTCTCTGCCGATTTTTCACTTCACTGTTTCATTGTTGTGTAATCACCTCACTGTACTTGTTTATTGTTGCGACCGTTGTTGCACACACAATTGTCGGATCGCAATGCTCTTTGCGGGGCATCTTTTGCGTTTCTTTCGTTCACGGAAAGGAAGCAAAGACGCCGTAGCGAGCGAAGTTACCCATCAGATCTTAATTCACCAGTAGCCCGTTATTTCCTTCGTAAAAGATACTTTGCGCTCCAAACTTTGTTACCGCCCTTTTATTACAGCGCACGATACCGCCATGAGTGTTACGTCATTTTTAATACACACAGAGCTTCCGCCCCAGTAAAAAAAAAAGCTCAAAGTACCCCGGGGCTTGCAACTTTTTTAATTACTAACAGCAGCCCAGCGTCGTAATAAACCTGTAAGTGCGGAAGAAAAATCCTTCTCATAATTGTCGCTGTGCGCATCAAACTTTCGCCGATCCCACGGGTCTTTCTAAGGAGCACCTTACGTCCACTCCCCGCCTCGCCGTAATGAAGTAAGATAAACGACGCGTCTCCCCGGATATGCATAACTTCCTGGAGATGCATTACGGAGATGGAAGTTCGATGTGATTCCCGTGAGCTTCTCTGACGCGAGTCTCTTTGATTAGTACGCATAGCGAGCCCGAAGTGGCACGAATCCATATAACGTATGGGTACATCGATACGGATTACGCGCTCGCTCGTTCGCTCACTCTATCATAGGACGGTTAGTATTTGTTTAGTTTATTTTTCGCACGTTCGATTTTTCTGTCCTGAAATTTTTTTCTTTTCTAGTCTTTGCACTTATCGTACGAATACATTTGTGACGTATAATTTACAAGTAAAGCGAAACACTGCACTGCAAGTTCACATTTTGCGGTATAAAACATAATCACATTAAAGCAACACGGCAAAGCAAACGAAAGTTCAAGAGGAGCTTGCGAAATCCTACGGCTAACTTAGCCCTGCCATCGAGGCTAATTAAGCTTACCGAAAAACAAAAGCGTGCACAATTAAAAGTACAGAACAACATATACCGTAGTATCGGTAGTTCCCTTACTTTGCTATAAATTTTTTTTTTTAATTTAATTTTACTTGTTTTTTCATTTTGCAGTACACAGGTACGGTGACAAAGACAAGGAGGAGGGGGCCTCGAGCGATGAGCTTCGACGACGAAGAGGAGAAGAGAAAGAGCTTCGTAAGCGGCTTGCGGCCGATTAGAGCGACAAAACGGAGCAGCGAAACTTTCTCCCCCGCGAGGACCCCGAGAAGTGCTGCTGGCGCTCACCGCTACTGTACCAGTTGTTCACTGCAGGACAGAGCCGGTGTAGGAGTTTCTATCCTTTGTCACTACCGAGGAAGGAAAATAAGAGGATCCGGACAAAGCTTGGAGTGATTTTTCTTTTAAAAATGGATTGTTGTCCAGAGAAAATTCTTCCTTTTTTTTTTCTTTTCCAATGATTTTGAGGACTCTGCAAAAATCATGGGTATCGGCGAAAGCTGTGCGACACAAACTCCCGCCTTATTCCGAATTTATTTGGTGGTCAACTTTTTTTAACGTATACGGATAGCCGAAAAAAAAAAAAAAAAAAAACACGTAGCAGCGACAAAGAGCAAAATCAAAGCTCAGCCTGCACAGCTAAGGAGTAAAGTAACAACCGTAGCTCGCTTTGGTGGATCAGCCGGCTGTGCGCACGACGAGCCTCCCCTGATTACTCCGAAAAACGAAACGCGGTGGGCGTCGTCCCTGTAAACCAGTGTACGCTCGACTTTGCCCGCAAGCGCGAAAAATCGGTCTTTGTTTACTTGCCCCGAGCTGGTTTAATTTCCGATGTACCGCTTCTGTGGCCGATACGTATTTCCATTTTATTTCTTTGTTTGTTTGTTTTTTTTTTTTTTTTTTTTTTTCACGCTTTTTTTCTCGGTCCACGAGTGCTTTTGTCATGTGCAAGAGACTGACTTTGTGTGTTTTCACTTGAGAGCAAGGGGAAAGAAGCTGAAATCGAATGTATAAATTATACACGAGTGGGTCGATATTGGAAAGCCATAAATTGGTCTCCTTTTTTTTCTCGGACTCAATAACGGGGTCGGACTTTTCGATTTTAACTTTGTCACGGTACGTGGTACAAATGATGAGTGCGATTTAATTTTAAAAGTGTATACGTATGGTCTTGCAAGGCCATATTTTCGTTGAATATATTAAAATTGGACTATTTTTCATTGCTCTTGGATAACATAATAATTGTAAACTGAAACGTAAATAATCCAAATGCAACTAGAAAAATTCCAAACAAAAATCTGTAGTTTCCATGACAGCTATTGTACGATCACTATCATCTACGACTATCGCACAGCCGACCAGAAGCCTTCGATCTCTCGTCCCCGTCTAATCCCCTATTAATCGCAGCTCTCCGAAACCCTTCCCTTTCTCTCGACGATAATACCCACACGCCCGGCTGGCCCCTCCCGCGGAATTATTAAATAAATTGCAGAAACGTTTCGCGCGAGTAGCGAATTACGCAGCCAATTAAGCGGGTAAATTAATTAGCGGCGGCTGCCGCGCAACTGTACATCACAGGCCGAGGGAAAGGGAAAAAGCTAGCGGTGCGCGTCGTGCGGTGGACTGGTTTATGGGTTTTATTAAAAATTTTAATTAAGATCGACTGCGAGTACATCGTAATGTCCGCTGCAAAGCTTGCGCTGCTTAATCAATCTCGACGCTCGGAGTTTACGTCCCGAGTGATTTTCCAAATGGAAGCCCCATTTTTCCTTTTTTGTTTTCATTTCACCGGCAACAAAAAATTCGTCCCATTACGTAGCTTTATCGCACTGAAGAGCCCGGCTCTTAAAGTCGCAGTAAAAGTAAATATTTTACTGTTGGACACAGCGCGGTGTTGTTGTACATCTTTCGGGACGCTCCTCCTCGGGAAATTTTTCATCTCCGGGAGAAGCTTCGCCGTCAAAGGTTAATAAAATAAAGAAAGCGACGGACGACTCTTTTAAAGCTCTATTATTCGCCTCTCGGGGGTAAAAATTCGATTCGGGAAAAAAAGTACAGGTGTGTACACACGATGGGTATCATGTCCAAATATCTTACACTCGTGAAACAACGCGCATCCAAAGCAACTCCTCAAAGGATATGCGCGCGCTTGTGC